TTGACAAAGTTATGAAACAAAATCAGCCAAATTATTTTCGTTAATGTTTCAAAACTGTGTGCAAACGAATCTGCAAATTTACAAAATTGTAGAGAAGGAGGAATAATAATTTACCATTAATCAGAAAGTTACGAGGTTTCCTAACCTCAATGATATTTCGCAGTGAATCTGGAAAAATTTTTCCAGCAACACATTAGTAGGTTATACTCTTTGCAAAAATTCCTTATTTATGTAACGTGTTCTTATGGTATAACATTGTTGTTAAATGTAAAACAAGATATTACACAGTCGGTGTAGATCAAATTTAGAGATTTGTAATGCTATATGCGAGTCGAAATTATTTCAAGCGTTTCGTACAAAGTGAAACAATAGAAAATTTAGCGAAATTTGAATAAAAATAATTAAAGAAAGATCCTTTCACGTAGATAGGTTACATAACTTGTTTACATTTTTCCAATTACACTTTAAACGTGTTCCATAGAATTGTAAAGATGGAGAAATTCAGATAAACAATACTAGTCTGACTTAATTAATTTTCTAAATAACTCTGGCAAGTAATAAAAGGATAAAAAAAGAGAAAGCAAAATTCTTGGCAATTTTACGTGAAATTAAAAAAATTCTTTTCTTTTACAAACACTCTTGGCAATATTTTTCCTCAACGAAATTAGAAAATTCGAAGTTAGATTATTTTTTACCCTTGCAACCTGTAATTTCATCATTTCCAATACAAAAAAAAATGATTCGGTATCGCTCGGTACTGGCATCAGGATCGACGTAGTGTAATCAGAAGAGAAATTCGAAATTATTCACTTTGTTGTTTCAAGTGGCAAGGAGCGTATCGATGATCACTCGGAACAGGACCAGACGTTCAAATATTTATCCTGCTTGTTTTCGTGTTATTTTTAAGAGTGTTCGCGATAGTCGTTAAGAAATCGTACTAACATCGTCGTAAAAATAGGCGAGGCATCAGTGTTGAAATAACACGCGGTTTAGGCGTAACATTGAAATAACACGGGGCCAGAAGCGTTAGCACTTGGAGAAACAGCAGTGAAGAATTCGACTACCTATTACGTGTAAAGTTGAGTAGTTGTTACGACAGACGGAAAATCGCAGTTCGATTATTGGTTGCTGGAATTGGAATTTTGAAAAAATTGCAGATTTTGGGAAAATTTTTGAAATTCGAAAACTCGGAATTTCTAAAAGATTCTGAAATATTTCTTACGTTTGAAAAATAGTTGTTTCTTATATTTGACGGATTGATAAAATAATACGAGAAAATATTGCCGTTTGAAAAGAATTAGATTAGAAAATCCAGTGTAATAAATGTTGTTTTTAACTCGCAGAAACGAATTGCAAAATGTATATTTATAGAGAGAATTCTGCAATTAAGACGATAATCCGGTGGTAAACAACGAAAACCACAGCCTAATGACAAGCAATTACACATGGCTTACTAAATGTTGCTTGAACAGTAAGCTTTGTGTGCACAGATTTAGCGCTGAAATTTAAGCATTTTCAGAATTTCGCGTTTTCAGATTCAAAATTCAGTGTTGCAGTATTAACAGCTTAAGGAAGTTCCGCGTTGTAATGCTTAAAAAGAGGGAGAAATTGAAATTTTGTCGCTCAAAGTGAACTTTTCAAAATTGGTCAAAATTGTAAGGTTGAAAGTTGTACAGCTTAAAATTTGTCGACCCAAAATTTTAGGATTTAAAGAATAATGAGCTCAAAGTAACACGCTCAAAAATTGGACAATTTAACTTAAAATTATATAATTCCTAGTATAGAGCTCAAAATTGCAAGCTAATACAATAGTTCATAACGAGTTATAAATTATAGTGCTCAAAATTGTACATCTTAAAGGTACAGAACTTAAAATTATTTACCTCAAAATTTGCTGGTTTTTGTGATATTCAAAATTATTTAAATCCACCAACACGAAATTGAATATTTAGAAGGTGAAATTTACAAGAAATTGTTTAGAAAAAGAAAAAACAGAATCAGCGAAGGGTGTATTCTTCTTATATAATCCAACACTTGACATACTAATTATTTATTAATTTTTCTTTATCTTCAGTAAAAATCAAAGAAATCCGTAATTTCCAGCAAAACTTTTCACATCCTAACCTCAAATAATTTCTATTCGTTTGTATTCAACGAGAAGATATTTGTTTTCCTGGTTACACAATTGTTTGATAATCATCGATACATGCTAGATTCGGAGATTGTAATTATTTACTCGAAAAGTTTCCCAAAGAAGACAACAAACTCGAAGCGTGCTTTGGTACGCGTGATTGATAAAGAAGGCATTTATCAGTGGGGCTTATTACGAGCAGAAGTTTCGTAAAGAAAACGCGCTAGAAAAGAGATCGACGTATCAGCGTTCTTTATCGCTGAAATATCGTTATTTATACGTCTCAAGCCGATAAGAAGGCGATTCTCGTTCTGGCAACAAGATTTCGGATGTTTCGTTTACCCTAGTCCGGTAATGTCGTCCCCTATACTGTTGGTTAAGCTAAATTTGTATATCGATTTGAATCGATATCTATTTAGTCGAGCTCGTTTCACTTAAGCTTGAAGAGAAAATTTCTGTGAAATTTAGGTTATCGAGTTGAACACTTCAAATATTTTTTTGATAAAAATAATCTGTTCGTTTAATTTTAGCTTGAATTGTTATTGGCGGGAAATTTAAAGTATAAAGTGACATCTGAATTAGTTGTGGGTTATCGGTCATTTTTAGGGGTCACTGACAATCGTATTTATGTTTCAAATCAGTAATATAAGTTTCTTCTTTAATTCAATAACGCTTTAATATTTTACATGAATTCAACCTGCTTAAAAAAAAAGTAAGGTTAGATTGAACTTAATGATACAAGGAAGAGTATGATTTTCAATATGGTGTCTAGAATATTTGCAGACAAATGGGCTAACTAGCAATCTGTAGGGCAATGATACGAGCTATCATCCTGTTTATGATTTTAGTTGAAAGTGGATCACTTATTGTTCACAGCTTACAATTAACTTACTGATTTGAACTAGGTCTAGGAAACAATTATTCCACTTATTAGTTTGGGTGAAAATAAACTTCATTGCTCTATGGAATTTTGTTTATGAATAAATGTTCACTCCTTTGTGTGGGTTATACCTTTGTATGTATAATTTATAATTTCACATAACTGGTACTGCTTAGAGTCTTGTTATTTTAATTTCTTAATTTGAGGTTTTGCTAGAACCAGTATCTTTTAATATTTAAAATTTGTTATTTTACACATTTTAGTTAGATCTGAAGAATAATTACTTTATCTATCATTTGCAATAGAAAATTTTTTACTTATGTGCTTAAATTCTTGGTTCAAGTCAGACTTAACAAAAAGTCTAAACTAGTGATTTTAGATGAAAGTAATGTGTCATTTACATTTTGAAAGATAATTTATGCTTGATTTTAGATGAAAGTGATCTCATTTATCATTGCAAACCTATCTTACCATAAAATTAACAGAAAGACTGATAGACAATATGAATCATTTCTTGGTTTTTACCAAGATATGAGGAAATCTTCTTCAGACTCTTCAATAGAGCATTAACTGTTTCACTGTAGAACTCAATAACGACTCATCATACATTAATTTAACTCGTTCAATTACAGATTGAGGTTATAAAAATAAATTCTACTTTGTTAAAATAGAATGTTCGAATCAGGCTTATTCGTCTGATTTAATACTGAATTTACAAGTTACCAGAGGTCTTAAACTTTAATTAACAAGCGATTGGTTAATTATTACCGACTGACGTTACTTTATTCTTTCTTTGTTACAACTTGTCACTTGGCACACTAAAATACGGAAATGCATAGTTAACGACGAACGCGTGTAAAAGAGATACGAAACAGTAGAAATGCGAATAAGGAAACTGTAAACAGTTGGACGATCATTTGGACAGATATGAAGAGATATGACATACGTGATGATTGATGCGTAGATAAACAGGTGCACGTACATAGTATGTATATTACAGATAGATACTTCGTTTTATCTAGAGTATTTCCTTCCATTGCTCTCATACGAATAAAATTTCCAGAATGTTAGTAACATTTTTGTAAATGTATTCATTAAAATTCTCAGTTCGTAAATAAAATATTTAGTTTAAAAATAAGAATTAATTCGGTTAACTAAAGTATTTTAAGGATTCAGAATACCGTTTTTGAAACATTCCACTTTTCATTAAAATATGTGACAGTGTCAATAATGACTCATCATCTCCAATTTTAGAAAAGACGATGTTAAGTAACATCTTCGTTCACATACTTTATTTATTTCTATTTTTAAATACACAGTCCTTCGTATTCAAAACAGAATATCACCATTTTTTACGTGAATCTAATTTGCACGCTTTCTCATGTATAAAGGCAAATACTTAACAATGGCCGAATTTAAAATCAAAAATTAAAAATCACTAGACTTTTTAACGAAATTACATTACGCAGCTGCGTTGGTAACACTTGTCCGTTTCCACCAAAAAAGTGTCGAATCTACATAAAAGAATAAATCTAAAATGTAGAGTAACATGTTTTTCATTTTCGAATAAATCGATGTCGAAGATTCGTTGGTTACGTGTACACGTACACACACACACACACATTGAATTCAATTTTTAAATGGAAATGCGACTTACGAACCACCCTGTATAAATATAAATAAAATTTTGTTGATATCATGGTATAAACAAGCCTACTTGATTAAAATCATTCGTAAAATTTACATTGAATACCTGCTGTCTTAAAAAGTGAAAGCTATAATATATCGGGTGACTATAATTGTTCATACATACATACATACATAGTACGTAGCTATTTCGCGGTGAACGACCATAATCGACCTTAGAATAGACAGAGATTGCTTCGTAACTAGCGACTATAGTCGTCCGCAATAGAGAAAGCGTTAATTTGATTTATCAACTGAAAATCATTCTCAAAATCGATAAATTGGAATTTGTTCTTTTTACAGACGCCGATTTGAGCATGGGCGCAGGCGCAGCTGGAGGTTCGGTCTTGGGTCTACCAGGATCAGGCGTAGGTGGCGTGCTTTCGCAGCACTGCGCCATCTGCGGTGATCGCGCGACTGGAAAACACTATGGCGCCGCTTCCTGCGACGGTTGCAAGGGTTTCTTCCGGCGATCTGTCAGAAAGAATCACCTCTACACCTGCCGGTTGGTGATACACTTTTTTTTTTTACCCTCTATAACCTACAATTTCAGATTTCGAGCATTTCTTTGATCAGAAACTTTTAGAAAGCAAAAGTTGTTTCCAACAGGAAAAAATGATAAATCTTTTATCTATTTGGAACGTTTGAATTTATTTATTTTCCTATGCGAAAGTATTTTATTATGATTGCTTAGAAGAATTTATCAATATGTTTCTAGCATTCCTTTAATAAATTCGATTATTTTTATTTCTTCAAACGAAAAGACATTATCGTTTATTAAATGTTAATATTTTATTGATAGAATAAGTATTACCGTTGGATTTATAATTTTCTTCAGTTTATTGTCAGTGTATGAAATATCACGAAGATAGTATTATAGTGTTTTAATGTGTTTTTTTTTTGGGAAACTCTATCTTTTGTTTGAAGAATGACCGTGACTAATGGATTTCCACGATATATTGATAACATTTTCGAACGATTTGGTAACAGAATTTTCCCAGGAAATTCACTGTAATTGCTATAATAAATG